ACTTATCCCTCCCCTCTTCCATGTACATACTCTGTCATGTATCTTACTTTTCCCACTTAAGATTTCCAAATGAGTAAACAAAGAGCGACCACATTCTTTATAATGGTTACATAGTAATCTAATGTATGTACATACCATAATTTATATAACATTTATTGGTGGACATTTAGGTAATTTACAATCGTATTTCCCCCAAAATGAATAACCTGGTACATAAGTCAGTTGTCACATGTGACATTTCAGTTGGGTTTTGACATATTCTTGTTTATAAGGACTCTAAATATGCAGTGCTTTCTGTTACTTGTATTTATTTTGTCACATAGTTAAGACTGGAAACCAACCAATACCCTAAATATCTTGATTGAGCAATCAAGGATTTTCTATTAAAAGAAAAACCACGCTGATGGCTTTTATGTGAATATATCTTTGCTCACTTCAGTTTAAGTAAGGGGTGGTTTATTTTGCTGTGAACGCATATTTAATGTTGAGAAGGAAAGACAGCATGAACCAGAGAAACCACGTGGTCTTTGTATTCACAAGGGCAGATGGGGCATGCTTGCAGTGTTTACTTAGCAAAATGTGTACTGGATATCCTCCTGAAATTATGGTGTTGAGTGAGTAAACTCATATTTTTGCATTAAGTTAGGAAAAGCTGAAATGTTTTTTGGGTTGTAAATATGCAAAATAGAAGAGGAAGCCTCTGGGAATTCCTCCAAAGCTATTTATTTTAAAAGTCTTAAAAGGCTAAGATCATGTCTTGTGAAATATCTGGTTTTCCAGTTAGGAAGTTGTGCTGATTGGGAGAAAATGCGTTTTGTTCCAATGGATGTATGCTTCTGTTGTTAAGGAGTAACTTTATATAGAATACATTGGAGTCTTCATTGTTAAGTAGGGAATGAGGGAAGAAGGAGCAAACTTTTCTCTGTTTTTCTTAAAAGACACAGAATCTTGGATTTGGAAGGGCCCTTATGAGTATATGAGTGACTTTCCTGGCTTCAAGATTATTGTGAAAACTGAAATTGTTAGGCAGAATATCTGCATTCCTACTCATTAGCTGGTTGAGCTTAGACACTTCATAATAGAAACAGCATATTAAACATTTAACTACATGCCAGCTACTGTGCAAAGTATTTTATATATATTTTTTTACCTCATTTAATCTTCATAACAGTTTTAAGAGGTAGGTGGTATTTGTCCTCATTTTACAGAAAGGGAATCTGAGGCTTAGAGGAGTTGCATAACTTGCCCAAAGTCACAGCAAATATGTGGGGGAGCCAGGATTCAAATCCAGTTCTGTCAAACTTCAAAACCCATTATCTTAACCACGAAGCTAAGGTGCCTGCCATTTTAGTCTCTAAACCTTGCTTACATACCTACAAAATGGAGATAACATAATACTTGCAAAATGAGGTAATATATGGAAAGTGCTTTATAAATTCTAAGCTAGTCAAAAGTATTATGAAATAAAATATCAAGTTAACAGGGTAGGTTTTATCACCTCTTGCATCCTGATTTCAAGTTACTCCTTCCTGCTGTTTTGACCCAAAGCCCTCAGGTACTCTATTTTCATTTGCTCCACCAGCAGTGGGACTGGGACTGGGTGCAATGGTGGTCTCTTGGAATGAGCTGCATGATGAGTCAGTGTTTCTTGTCTCACCACTTTTATTCATATATGCGCTGATTGGATTCCTCTTGTGCTGAGAGGTTAAAACAATCAGTATTTTTGGCTAAAATAGCTGACAGTGAATGGGAAACAACATGTGGGAGTCTGTTCTGATAGCAGTGTGTTATAGAGCTATCTGTAAAAGGGAACTATGCCAAACAACCAGTTTAGCATGTGCTTTCTATACAAAGTTTTGTATTGTTTTCCCTTTGCTTCAGGTTAAAGATGGAAGGAAGGTCACTGAGGAAAGAATGCCTAGGTGTTCAGCACCCTGTGTGCCAGCCCAGAAGTGGCACTGTGAAAGCCTCTATAACATCTGCTGCAGACCCCTAAAAATCAAGTGGGCTTGGATTTGGACATTCTCAGTAGGAATGGTTAAAGGCTGATGGGAGCAAACAGGCAAGTACTTTAACTTTGACCAAGATGTGATGCCTTCAAGTGTTCTCCGTGTCACATGTATATGTGTCTTTTCTATCTAAAAAAGATAGGAGGTTCTTTGAGTTACCATTGTATCCCATAATGCTGGATACACAGAGGCACTGAGGAAACTGGAATGGAGCTAAGTAAAATTGAGTGGTAATATAATCTTAAAATGGAAGCATCAGCTGATTTAGTATTACCAATTTGTAGTTTATGTCAGGCCTTCATGAAGTTATCTGTCACACATAGAAAATATACCTTTGGCCATGAGCACCAGTACTTTAAAGCATTTACTGCCCACGGGGAACAAAATGAATGGGTCATTGATTGTTTATGGGGTATTTATTAAATATTTACTTTAGCTCCCTAAATAATTCAGTAAGTATTAAATGGCCTTGACGTGGTAGAATGACCCTTGCTGAAGCATGACTAGAGTCCTGCAGGGAGCATCATTGGCAAAGACATCATATATTTCATATCAGGATTTATGTGCTAGGCTTTGTGAATGTGCCAAGCACACAAAGACCAGGCCCTTTGCAGTCTGGGTTTTGTCTGTGAGATGAGACAAATAGAGAAGTTGTACCTTTAAATCTATACTTATTTTCCTGTGACTTCCTTTCTTGCTTCCTCTCTATGTTCCCTTAGTTAATCTCACATGCTGTTGATTTGAAAACATTTTACATAATTAATGCACTATTCAAGTATAGGACAAGAAAGGAGTAAAATAACATTGATTATATCTCTGAGGGACTTAAAACATCTCAGTTTCTTTCTGATCTACTGAGCCAGTATGTCATTCTTAATACATTCTAAAGCAAACCATCTTCTGTAGCTCTGCTTGTTTCACGCAGGAAGTGGCACGGTAAAGTGAAGATATGGAGTTTTGACAGAACTGGGCTTAAATTCTAGCTCTTAATAGCTAGGTGACCTTAGGAAACTTGATTTAACTTCTCTGAGCCTCAAATTTCCTTGTAAATATGGGGCTGATGTAAAGTTTGAGTGAAATGATTCTTATACTTCTTGACAGTAGGAATTTTTAAGAATTACAACTGCCACTTCTTGTCAGCTTATTTTAGTTGTACCCATCCTTTAAGGCACTCCTGTCCAGCAGAACTTTCTGTGATGATGGAAATGTTCTATATTTGTACTGTCACATATGGTACCATTAGCCACATGTGGCTCTTGAGCAATTAAAATGTGACTGGTATGACTGAGGAATTTAATTTTTATTTAAATGGCTGTATGTGGTGTTACCTATTGGACAGTGCAATTTTTTTTACTGAAATATAATTGATGTATAACATTATATTAGTTTCAGGTGTACAACATAATGATTCAATATTTGTATATATTGTGAAATGATCACCATAAATCACCACACCTAGTTACAAATATTTTTTTCTTCTGATGAGAACTTTTAAGGTCTACTCTCTCAGCAACTTTCAAACATGCAATACAGTATTATTTTAAGTGCAATTTTATTTTTTATTTTTTGTGAAGAAGATCAGCCCTGAGCTAACATCCGTGCTAACCTTCCTCTTTTTGCTGAGGAAGACCGGCTCTGAGCTAACATCTATTGCCAATCCTCCTCCTTTTTTTACCCCCCAAAGCCCCAGTAGATAGTTGTATGTCATAGTTGCACATCCTCCTAGTTGCTGTATGTGGGACGCGGCCTCAGCATGGCCGGAGAAGCGGTGCGTCGGTGCACGCCCGGGATCCGAACCCGGGCCACCAGTAGCGGAGCGCACACACCTAAGTGCAATTTTAAAGCTCATGCAAGACAGACCTTTTTTCTTGATGAAGTGTTCCTTGACCAATGATTCTTCTTTTCTTAACATTTCATGTCTTGCTCTATCACTTATTTGGTACTTACCATGGACATTAATTTTTCATGAATCTTGTCTTTCTAGCTAGATTGTATTTGAGGTTATGGATTTTTAAATCTCCACATTGCTGCATGAAAAGGAATATGATAAAAGTATAATGTAATATTTTTAGTTAATAAGTTTTAAATAATCCTTAAATGTAATAGAAAAAATTTTCTAGTTAGTAATTAGGTGAAGAATAGGGAATAGTCTGAAGGTTGCCTGCAGGGATGAACTTCATGTCCAGTCTATTTCACCTGAAAGTTCAGACTTCATTCAAACTCTGGAAGAGGAAATTAAAGCTATTGCCATCTTGTGGCCGACTTGGGCTCCAAATGATGCTAATTCAATTTTGCTATGTCAAGGGAAGGTTTTCTTTAGTTTATTGCTATAAAAGTTTACCAAGAGTAAAGGTTAAATACAATAGGCATTGGCTCAAATGAAATTGAAATATGCTTTGAAAAAAGGCTATTTTGGATAACCTTCTCATTTATTTGAATCTTATGAGTTCTTGGCTTCATCCTTCCTCCCCCACCCCCCTTTTAGGATTTTGTGAATTTATTGACTGTGGTTACAAGTCTCTTCTGCAGTCTCATGCTGCATGGATTTGTAGAGGCTGACAGTAACCCATGCCGTTTATGCCCCATCTCCCTGAATTTGTTCCCATGGCTTCCAAGCTCTGGTTGCAGCCAGCACATGGCTCCTTCTTTTGCATACCTGTTCTCTTATTGTGAGACTGTTGGCTTTTATAACCTTTCAGAGGTTGGTTAGAGTTACTGTATAGTTTTACCCAAACTTTTAAATTTATACCACAAGCTAAGCTTTTGCAGAAGTCCCACCTTAATCTAATATTGAGTTTGGGCATTTGATGACATTTACCAAATAGATGGGTCAATTTATATTACTGAATGGAGATTCAAATAATGAACAGTTTTCCTTGAGGTTAATTTTCCTTGAGGCTATGTGGGTGTGACTTGGTGTGGAGTAGGCTGGTGTGCATTTAAGGTTTGTAATCATAACCTTTGTGTATTTTTCACTTATTTTTTATTTTCCAGAGATGATGCTAGGTGGTTGATAGACCTGTAGTTCAACTTGATTCCTAGATAGAAGCTGGAGTCATCTGATACCAGAGGTAAGTGTAAAAGAAAACCTTCATTTTTACCTCATTTGGATTTCTAATCACCTAGAAAAATTTTGGGGTCAGTGTTCTTAGTGGCTGACATTTGGTAGTTGAAGAAGCCTTAGTTCTACCTTAACAGGGTTTTCCTGGTTTAGGGACAAGTAGCAGGTGGTGGTTTGCCCTTCACCAGTCAGTCATTTGCAGTTTGCCATGATGAAATGCATGTTAAGTCCGTGTTTCAGCTGATCACTCTGATTAAACACATGCTCTGAGCAGACTACAGCTAGGGCAAACACTTGGAATTGAATTCTGCTTCTTGGAATTCTTACTGGGATCTAGCCTGTGATACCAGATGATTCTTAAATCTTTGAATTATGAATTTGATCAACAAAGCACTTTGTTGTGCTTTGATCTTTTGTGATATCTCTTTGAGATAGACAGAACTAGGGTCAAGATCCTTAATCTAAAAATTCAAACACTACAGAAAAAGCACTGATAACTAGTATAATTCTGTCAACACTTACCTTGGCAGTTTTTAAACTAATCACTATTTTATTAGTCTATATATAAGGTTAAGAGTATCTCAGAGATGGTTAAATCAATTCTGTCAGGATCATATAATGCAACACTATACAGTCACTTAAAAGTTATATGATACAGGTTTATCTTTCTTTTTTTTTTGTGAGGAAGATCAAGATCAGCCCTAAGCTAACATCCATGCTAATCGTCCTCTTTTTTGCTGAGGAAGACCGGCTCTGAGTTAACATCTATTGCCAATCCTCCTCCTTTTTTTTTTTTCCCTTTTTCTCCCCAAAGCCCCAGCAGATAGTGTACGTCATAGTTGCACATCCTTCCACTTGCTGTATGTGGGACGCGGCCTCAGCATGGCCGGAGAAGCAGTGCGTCGGTGCGCGCCCGGGATCCGAACCCGGGCCGCCAGTAGCGGAGCGCGCGCACTTAACCGCTAAGCCACGGGGCCGGCCCCAGGTTTATCTTTCTTGAAATGGAAGGGTAATCATGATACATTAAGTTAAAAGCAAGTTACAGAGCAATATGTATCATCCTTTTTCTGCTTAAACATTTTTAATACTTATGTTTACTTGAGAAATTGTCTGAAAGGATATATAGATGGTTCCCGACTTACAATGGTTCAACTTATGATTTTTTGACTTTTTAATGGTGCAAAAGCAATACTCATTCAGTAGAAACCATATTTAAAATTTTGAATGTTGATCTTTTCCTGGGCTAGGGATAGGCGGTTCCATACTTTCTCATGATGCTGGGCAGTGGCAGTGAGCCACAGCTCCCAGTCAGCCCCGAGATCACAAGGGTAAACAACTGATACACTTACAACCATTCTGTACCCATACAATCATTCTGGTTTTCACTTTCTGTACAGTATTCCATAAATTATATGAGATATTCACCACTTTATTACAAACTAGGCTTTGTGTTTGATTTTGCCCAACCGCAGGCTAATGTAAGTGTTCTGAGCATGTTTAAGTTAGGCTAGGCTAAGCTATGATGTTTGGTGGGTTAGGTGTTTTAAATGCACTTTCAACTTAATGATATTTTCAACTTATGATAGGTTTATCGGGACGTAACCCCATCATAAGTTGAGGAATATCTGTACTCAAATACTAGGGATGATTGTCTCTAGAGTTGGGTTCTATAGGTGATCTTGTTAAGGTCCATTTTTTGACTTTATTATTTTCATGTATTGTATAATTTAAAGTTATTTTAAGCAACCTAGATGGGATACGCTTGTATTCTTTACCTATGCCTACATGTTTCAGCAGAGAATGGGGTACAGAGGAGTGTGAAATATAGGAAACACAAATAATTCAAAGTAATATCAGCACTTGAAATGATTTTTTTAGCTTTTGCAGAAATGAAATTTCAGGTTACCGAAACTAGATCTGAGTCTCACTTCTTTCCCAGCCTCGAACTCTTGGGTGCTGTGAATCCTGGATATACAATACATGAAGACAGCATTTTTCTATTATGGTAAGGCTTATGTTGAAATTGAGAAGCTCTGACGTACATAAGAATCTTTGAAAATTCAGCTTTGTGACTTCATGGCTAGCTGCTAAGGTGCTACAAATTGTTTTTTTTAAAAAGTCAATTAAAGATGTTGAGAGGTAGCATAGTTATAGTAGTTATACATGGGTTCTAGAATCAGACTGGGTTCAAACCCATCCTGTCACTTAACTAGCTGTGTAACCTTGGCAAGTTTCTTAACATCTCAGTGTCTTTTAGTGTCTTTATATCTTAGAAGATGATAACAATAGTGCCTGACTCAAAGGAATTGTATTTGACTTTGAAGATTAAATTAGGTAATAAATGTGTCGTGCTTAGAACATTGTTAAGCATGTGGTAAATGCTCAATAGATGTTAGCTATTTTGTCATCAGAGCCCATGTGTATATTATCTTAGACTTTGTACTACCTGGCAATTTCTGACGTCTGCATAATAGGTTGTCAGAAATTCTTTGTTTTTATTGCTTCTGTACATCTTTCCGCCAATTGGCCTATCCCTCATTATCTTTACCCCTAGCACCCAAACCCTAATTTAGTTCTAGAATTAGGCAAAGTATAGTAATGAGGACTATAGTGTATATCCCTATATAATTGTTTCAATAACATTTTCTTTAATTAATTAATCTTGTTTTTGGCACTAATTTATTTATCATCTAATTCCTCATTTTGTCTGTCTAGCTGGACCAATTGATACTTAATAGTTCTTTTAGTTCTTGAATGACTCTTTAAAAAAATTTAGATGTAGTGATTCTTATAAGAGTCACTTAATGTCTTTATTTTTATTTTTTTTTATTTTATTATTTTGTGAGGAAGATTGGACCTGAGCTAACATCTGGTGCCAATCCTCCTCTTTTTGCTGAGGAAGACTGACCCTGAGCTAACATCTATTGCCAATCCTCCTCCTTTTTTCCCCCAAAGCCCCAGTAGATAGTTGTATGTCATAGTTGCACATCCTTCTAGTTGCTGTATGTGGGATGCGGCCTCAGCATGGCCGGACAAGCGGTGCGTCGGTGCGCACTCCGGATCTGAACCCCGGCTGCCAGTAGCGGAGCGCGCGCACTTAACCGCTAAGCCACGGGGCTGGCCCTGTCTTTATTTTTAATAAATTTTTCTTAAAATGATTGGAGATAAACTTTGATGGCTGTTCCTCTCACTGCCTGGAGCCTTAGGTAGTGGGATTTTAGTCCATCATAAATCAAAGCTGACTTGTCTTCACTCGGGGCACCATGGGATGGGTTGGCTGTCCGTTAGTGCCTTCTGATTTTTGCGGAGTCAAACAATTACAGAGCAGATGGTAATTCTAGATTAAGAAAATGTACCTGTGATTTTAAAAAAATCAAAAAAACTAATTTTAAAACATGGGGATATGGTATATGCAAACTTTGATTGCAATAGTATTTGAATAGCACTGATCTAAGGCTGTAAAAGAAAGAGCTCTAGTCAACTGATTCTGGGAGTCAGTCAAACATTATACTCTGAAGTCATTCATGTTTAAATTTTAAATGGTTTACTCAGTTTCTACTGAGTGCTTGTTCACACATTTCAGGACAGTATTATCTTTTTTTTTGCAGCATGAAGGTAGATGATTCTTCAAATTAAAGGCGGAAGCTGACTTTGCTCATCAGAAATGGTTTACAGAATTAACTTGCAAAAATGTAAGAGGCAGCAAAGGAAAGAGTAAAATATTTTCTTCTATCAGTCTTAGATTCTTTGCTAGATTGTAAATTCCATGAAAGCAGGATAACTTCCTTATCCCTAATACCTGGCCCAGAATAGGTACTCAAAAAATATTTGAAGTGAATTGAAATCTCCATTGATTTTTTTTTTTTTTAAATCTCTGGAAAATGGCAACCATTTTAATGGCATTTCAGCAAGACATTTACATGGAATAACTGGGACTTAAATTACGACTGATGTAAAATGTATATATAGGTACATTAAACTATCTGGGTACCAATAAGTCTACTTAAAACTCTTAATATCTGATTATGACTTAATCCTTTAAGAGGTAATGAAGAATGACTGTCAAAACAACTTATGTATGTGAGGAATAGATATATAAAAGCTACTGATATTTAATAGGAAATCTTTTATTATGAACATTTTATTTATAGCCTTATTGGATATTTATCATTGATTTAAGTTGCATCTACCACTCAGATATGGTTAAAAAGTCATTATCTCTACTTTATATTTAATGTTGAAATATTCTCAATTGTTTTGGCTAAATTATACTTCATGGATTTTTTTGTCTTATATACTGTATTTGCATTGATAAGGGTATATTTAACATGCAAAGGGTACAAAATCCACATCCAAATATTGGAAATCTGATACACTTCACTGTGTTTTGGAATGAGATTTAATATTCATACTTAGGATAACACAAATGGTATGCAACTATAATAACTTCTATTAGAATGTGAAACCTATTTTTTAGATTAAGATTTTTCTATTAAAACAAATACAAGTATTAAATTACTTTTAGAGTAGAATGATGCTTATCAGACGAAAATTCAAAGATAATAGGGGAAAAATTATCTCTGAAACTCTCGGAGAAATGTGGTACATAAATACTCATAATATAGCTGATAGTTACTTAGAATATCTACACAGGATCAAAATCAAACTTTATGGTAAAAATATCATTTTTGAAAGGTGAAAGTAACCTGTAATTAAATGGTATAAGTGATGTGTAAGAACAAATTGTGCTGTCTGAGTTTATCCAGACTCCTTATGTTAGGAAGAATGGATTGAAGATCTATAAATGAAAAGCAAACCTTAAACCTATAGAAAAGCAAAGAATATGACATTGGAGTAGACATAAGCACAAAAAGGAAAGATTGATAAATTTGTGTACACTAAAAGTCAAACTTATGTTTGCATGCCATATAACTGACAAAGGACTCCATATAAATCAAGAAAATGATCAAAAGATATAAACGGGCAATTCACAGATGAGGATCCCTGAGTAGTCATTCACGTGAAAAGATACTTATTCTCACTAGTAATGAAAGAATTGCACATCAAAACATTGAGATACCATTTCACTGCGATCGGATGGGCACAAATGAAAACAAAACAAAGCAAAAAAACCTGACACTTCCACATGTTGCTGAGTCTGGAGTGTGGGCTCTCAGCTTTCCTGGTGGCAGTGAAATCTGTTATTTGGAGAATGGTTTGGTGACATCTAGTTTATTTGAAGATGCTTATACACTAACCCAGTCTCTGGGTATTATATTCTATTCATACCTAGACATGTGTACTCAAGGAGATGTACAGAAAGTTCATTGCAGTATTGTTTTTAATTGTAAAAATCTGGAACTAATGTCCATTAGAAGAATGGATAAATAAATTGTGGTGTATTTGTAGTATTTGGCTGTTAAAATGAATTAATAGAAAGTATGTGTATTAACTTGACTCATTAACTTTGAGACTATATCTCAAAAATAATGAGTTAAAAAATGTCCAAGTGATATGTGCTGTGTGATAAGATTTAGTACTTTTAGAACATGCAAAACAAAGATGTATACACATATACTAATAGTGTAAAAGCATGCATGAGAATGATAAATACTAAAATCTGGCTTGTTTACCTCCAGAGAGGTAGGAGGAAATTGGGATTGAGCTGTACACAGGGGAGGCTTCAATTGTATCTTAATGCATTATTTCATTAAAAAATATCAAATGTGAGAAAGATTTGGGTGTATTTAAGCTGAGTGATGGTCATTCTCCACATATTGTTGATATGCTTGATATTTAATAATAAAAACCAGTATTTTAAAAAGCTCTTTTTGGTGGATGGGTTTTTGTATCCCAGCCTTCAATGATTTCAGTGGTCTCATCTCCAGGAGCACCCTAGAAAAGCCAGTTAAGAGTTTGTCTGTGCTATGAGAGAACAAGACACATACCACCAAGAAGCAGGTTAGGTCATTTCCTGGTGTTCCAGACGACTGGGATATTAAGACTTTGTAGCTCCCTCCCTTTTTTTCTATCTGGCAAAAGATGTTGGCCAAAAAAAGAAAAATAAAAAAAAATTATGTATATATATATAAAGGAATAGGCTTTTAGCCAACTGTTGGAAGTTGGAAACTGATTTAGAGAGAAAATGGTGTGGGGAACACTAAGGTTTTGGGAATCGACAGGATCATCTTGAAGCAGGAAGGTATCTCACTGCAGTGCAAAGGTCATTTGGCTAGAAACACAAAGTTAGGTACTGGTCGAATTGGAATGTTTTGTGTTTATAACTTTAAATAAGATTGTATCCTTTTATTGTCCTTAAAGTAGTATTTCTTAGGAAATATTTTAGGAAATGTATACAAAGGTCACGATGGCCCTTTCTAATTACTGTGAGCAAGTTTCAAGCAGACAAAAAACTAGCAGAAAGTTGTTTAATTAGGTCAGGTTTTTGTCTGAAGGAGAAAGGTTTAGTATTACAGATTCACAACCCACAAAGGGGTTTGCAGGGATGGGTGTCCACTGTGTTGCTGATTTATTGGACTGTAGCTGTTACGAATTCATACTGGGGTCACATCATCTGGAACGGTGGCTACGAAAGACAGCATTGAGGCTTATATCCCGAGGACCCCTCAAGCCCTCCTCCTCAGCTTCATTTCTAATGTGAATTCTAATAGACTAATAGACTGAGCAGTAAGCACAGAACAGAAAAGAAAGTAAAACGTACAAACATTTAAACAATTACAAGCAGGTCCAGGTGAGCACACAGGCAGACGACCTCAAAAAACCTATGACACCAATCCTATCGCTTCATTTCAAGCACTGTAATGAATTCATAATGCAGACTTCTAAATCAAGGAAAGTTCTGTTTTCTTTAAATGTATACAGAGGATGTGTAAAACCTGGAAAGATGTCTGCTTCAAAACGGATAAAAAAATGAAACGGCAGAATCTACCTCAACGTGGAAGGGATAGCTGTCCAATTATAGGTATCACACGATTTATGCGAATTCTTCCTGAAACTACTTAGAAAGCCTGCACTGCCCAGCCGGTGGGTACTCCCCAAATTTTCCCAGGACATACACCTGCGTGTACTCAGAGGCCGGGGCTCAAGCCGGCCCTGCTGGCTTCTCAACTGCCCCCCTCTGCTCTTACTCAGGACACTTTGACCTCAAATATTACACCCACGATAGCTAGGATGTTACTCTCGTGCCAGTCGAGCGCTGAAAAGGGCACACAATGACACTATCTGCAGGGCTCCCAAGTGGGAAACCTACGCCAGTCTCAGATAGTTTCGGGCCCTCAGCGTCTCAGACTCACGTACCAGGTGGACGCGCGGCCGGAGTCCGGGTACCACCACCCGGCGAGTCCCAGGATCCTGAGCGGCCGGAAGCCCCCGCCCCGACCCGGCAGTCCCCGGGAGGACTCTGCGCATGCGCTCTCCGACGCAGTGGCGGCGTGCGTGGCGAATCCTCGCTCCTCGCGGAGCTGTAGAGGCAGCGGCGTTTTCCCGCGCTTTTTCTCGGCGCCTCAGGTTGGGTATTGTTAGGTATTTTGTTTGTATTATTATTGTTATTATTTTTTCTGTCAAGCGCAGAAAGCGGGCCCAGAATTCCAGAGTGAAGTTTCTGTGAGTCTAATTCTCAAAAACTTGGCCCTCGGTAATTTGGACAGCTCATTGAATTGGCCCTTTCCCCACCTCGTGGAAAATTTGGAATTAGCTGTGTCTCTCGCTCTGCCGGAGGAGGGTCTCAGCTTCAAAACTGTTCTCAGCCCTTCTGCTTCCCCTGTGCCCATCACCCTCTTGAGACAAAATAGGCCTCAGATCTCCAGCTGCCAGGTGCCATATGCCTGTGGAGATCACTCGGTGGGGACTTTTGGGGTAAAAGTGTCAGAGCGTCCTTGTCATCCCTGTGACCAAGGCAACATTATTGATAGATTTGTCAGTTGATAAATGTGAACATTTTTCCTTGGTGTTTAATTGGTGTGTTGCTATTATTTTATGCAGTATGTGACTTATTTTGGTTTATCCAGAATATTGCTGCCCAATTTGGGTTAATAAGACTCCAGTGAGAGCAGGCACGATATTGAAAAGTAACTTGAGTATTTATATAGTTTTACAAATGTTTTAAATAGAAGCGTAGCATTGAATAGTATTTATATTAATAGGTGAATTATTTAATTGGTGATAAAAAATCTGCTTTTAAACAGATTTTCAGGCTTCATAATGGTCGATTACTTGAATGAATTAGGTTAGTTTCCGTTGAATACTCTCAGGTTACTACTCTTTTTTAGTCAAGGCAACACAGGTAAAGAATCGGAGAAATCAGCATATATGAAAAACCTAAAAATGTAACTTAAAATACTTTGCACTAAAGAATGGCTAAAATCAGTGCCTGGACTTTTATATCTGCCAAGTGTGAGAAGTGATACTAAAATATTCCAGCAAACTATGAATGGGTAATAAATTTGGATTTTTGTTTAGATATTGAGGAATGGCAGATGCACTTATTTTGTTTCTATTTGTTTGTACTTTGTAAATGTTCTTAAACTTTTTTTCCCATGTACGTATTACTTTTGATTTTAGTAAGATTTGGAACCGCCTGTCTTTAACTCTTTCCTTAAAAATTTTTTTCATAGCCTGTGTAGTGATTTGCACCGAGAAGGAGCACAATTAATATTGTTGAGTGACTGAAATGAATATGATCATAATAAATACAAAAACAAAATAAAATGTCCATTATTTTGTCATAAAATAAAAGCACGCTTCGTTATTTACTTATTTCATTTTCACTGCGATTTGACTTATTTGACCTTTTCCTTTACCCCTTATTAGGATTCTCTTCAGCATCTGGAGAGCTCACCGTCTGTTATGTCTTTGTGTGAAGACATGCTGCTTTGTAATTATCGCAAGTGTCGCATCAAACTCTCTGGTTATGCATGGGTCACTGCCTGCTCTCACATCTTCTGTGATCAGCATGGCAGTGGTGAGTTTAGTCGTTCACCAGCTATCTGCCCTGCCTGCAATAGTACCCTTTCTGGAAAGCTAGATATTGTCCGCACAGAACTCAGTCCATCGGAGGAATATAAAGCCATGGTATTGGCGGGACTTCGACCAGAGATTGTGTTGGACATTAGCTCCCGAGCACTGGCCTTCTGGACATATCAGGTTAGTGCTTAAGCTAGTTTCTCTGAGAGTATGATTTGAGGCATATATGGAAGCTTCTAATATTTTTCCTTCACTGTGTTTGTATTTATTTTTTATGAATGTATGGAAAACTTTCTTTTTAATAAATTTCCTTTTTTTCCAAAAGTAATATGTTTATTGTTGAAAATCCAAAAGGAAGAAAATAAAAAACCACCTATAATTCCATCACTCAGATATAATCATTGTTGATATTTTTGTTTGTATATTATCAGACTTTTTCTGTGCATAAATATATATTTTGTATATATATTTTGTGTGTACAAAAATAGGATAATACCATACATGCTGTTTTTGTGGCTAGGTAAAGTTGATAATTTTTATGCCTATTATGAATATTTTATTAAATATTTTTAATTATAATATTAATGGTTGCATTGTATCATAATTTATTTCCAAGTTATTAAAAAAATGCTGTGATGAGCATTCTTATCATCAAATTCACATCCTTAATTATTTGCTAAGATTAAATTCTTGAAAGTGGATAAATACCTTTCAAAATTTTAAAAATTGCAGTATTTTTAAATTGCCCTCCAGTTAGACCATATCAATTTGTGTTCCCTTAAAAAGTGTGTGAGCGTGCTTAGTTCTCTATACTTTCTACTCACCAATGAGATATTAGTAAAATGGAATCTCATTGCTCTTTAAATATGCATTTCTTAGATGACTTTTAGATGAATACATTTTTAAATATTTTTAATGTATTTTTCTTTTATGAAATTCCTGTCTCAGGAATTTTATTGATTTGTAAAAATTCTTGATATATACCTAACTCATATGTTGCAAGAAATTTTCTCTATTTTCACTTATCTTTTCTTAGTCTTCATTGATTTTTTTGACAAACAGAAGTTGAAAATTTTTATGTTTTCGATGTAATCATAATTTTAATGATTGCATTGTATTGTAATTTGTTTCTAAGTTATTAAAAAAGACACTGTGATGAGCATTCTTATCGTCAAATTCACATCCTTAACTCTTTCCCTTTATGATTTCTGCCTTTGATGCCTTCTTAGAAAGACCTTCTTGTGGAGACGTTTAATCGTGTCCTTGAGTATATTGTTATATCTTGTATAAGCATTTATAATAATTCTTCTTAAAGGTTCTATTTGTCATCCATCAAGTAAATATTTTCATTATATTTTTCTGGGTAAGACGTTCCTTTTTATATCCTCCTGTATCTTCTTATACTTATCTTTATTGTATTCTTTATATTATATTGTAATTACCTATATACTTGTTTGTCTCCTTTAGTTGGGAGACTTCTTTAGGTCAAGTTTTGATTCCTGTATATCTCTGGGTCTTCAGTGACCATGATAGTTAACTGATCTTAAGTAATACTTATTGACTGAATAAATAGACACTGTATCTTAAAGTAGGTTCCTATTTGAGGGGTAGTATTGACTGAACATGTTATGTGTGGTATTATTTTCATCTTTTGAGGTATGGTGGAAACTAGTGAATAAGTTAGTAAGGTAGCCAGAAATGAATTTTTATTTACTTCATTTATGCATTTTTCTCCTGTTTAGTCATTCAACATGTATTTTTCGAGTACCAGGAAACATTTATATTTCATGTAGCTTCTTAGGTGCTGTGTATACGATAATGAACAAAACATATGAGCTTCAAGGAGGCTATGGTTTAGTGGTGATAAAGATTAAAAAAAAAAACAACCGAAAACAGACATTTACAATACATTTTTAATGCCTACAATGATAAGGGAAGTGCAGAGTGCTATGGGACCACATAGTAGGGACAGATAATCTAGACTTGATGGAGTTACATCACACTGTAGAATGGGGAAATTAAAAATGGTTAAAAAAAAAAAAAAAAGGAGAGTGCTCATATTTATCTTTCTGTCAGTATTCAAAGGGCAGTGAATCCAAAGATAAGCCAAAATTGGTTTCTGTGTGTAGTAATTGTCTATTGATGTGTAACAAGCTTAGTGGCTTGAACAACAAATTTAGTGGCTTAAAACAACACACATTTATTATCTTAGTTTCTGTGGATCAAGACTCCAGGTAGGGACTCTGCTCAGGGTCTCACAAGGCTGCAGTCAAGATGTTGACAGGGCTGCAGTCTCATCTGAACCTTGAGTGGGGGAGGGTCTTCTTCCAAGCTCACGTGGTTGTTGGCAGCATTCACTTCCTAATGGAGTATCAGACTGAGGGCCTCGTTTTTTTGTTTTTGTTTTGTTAAATGGACTTTATTTTTTAAGCAGTTTTAGGTTCATAGCAAAATTGAGAAGAAGGTACAGAGATTTCGCATACGTCCCTTGCCCCTCGCACATGCATAGTTTTTTCTATTATCAACATCCCCCACCAGAGTGGTACAATTGTTATAAATGATAAACCTACATTGACACATTGCTATCACCCAAAGTCCATAGTTTACATTAGGGTTCTCTCTTTATGTTGTACATTCTGTGAGTTTGGGCAAATATATAACGACATATATCCACCATGATAGTATCATATGGAGTAGTTTCACTGCCCTAAAAATCCTGTGTGCATCACCTGTTCATCTCTCTTTCCCCGAACCCCTGGCAACTACTGGCCTTTTTATTGTCTTCATAGTTTTTCCTTTTCCAGACTGCTACATAATTGGAATCATACAGTTTGTAGCCTTTTCAGGTTGGCTTCTTTCACTTAGTAATATGCATTTAAGTTTCCTCCATGATTTTTCATGACTTGATAGTTCATTTCTTTTTAGTGTTAAATAATATTCCATTGTTAGATGTACCAGTTTATTTATCCATTCACCTACTGGAGGACATCTTGGTTGCTTCCAAGTTTTGGTAATTATGAATAAAGTTGCTATACACATCTGTTTGTAGGACATAAGTTTTTAGCTTCTTTGGGTAAATACCAAGGAGCACTATTACTGGATTGTATGGTAAGAGTATGTTTACTTTTGTAAGAAACTGCCAATCTGTCTTCCAAAGTGGCTGTAACATTTTGCATTCCTGCCAGCAATGAATGAGAGTTCCTTTTGCTCCACATCCTTGCCAACATTTGGTTTGTCAGTGTTCTGGATTTTGGGCACTCTAACAGGTGTGTAGTAGTATCTCATTGTTGTTTTAATTCGCATTTCTGTGATGACATTTGATGGGGAACATCTTTTCATATCTGTGTATCTTTTTTGGTGAAATGTCTATAAGGTTTTTGGCCCATTTTTTAATTGGGTTGTTTGTTTTCTTATTGTTGGGTTAAGAGTTCTTTGTATAAGTCTTATCAGATATGTCTTTTGCAAATATTTTCTCTCAGTCTGTGGCTTGTCTTTTCATTCTCTTGGCATTGTCTTTCGCAGAGCAGAAATTTTTAATTTTAATGAAGTCCAGTTTATCAGTTCGTGATTTCATAGATTGTGCCTTTGGTGTTGTATCTAAAAAGTCATCACCAAACCCAAGGTCATTTAGATTTTCTCCTGTGTTATCTTATATGAGTTTTGTAGTTTTGTGTCTTACATTTAGGTCTGTGACCCATTTTGAGTTAATTTTTGTGAAGGGTGTAAAGACTGTGTTTAAAGTCATAGTGACCGTAGTATTTTTCTGGCTGCTGCACAGAGGCTGCTCTCATTGCTTGCCTTTTTGGCCTTCCCATAGGGCTGCTTGCTTCCACAAAGCCAGCAAGAGAGAGAGTATGCTAGTAAGACAAACTTTATATTCTTGAGTAATGTACTCATGAAGTGACATCCTGTCATATTTCCTGTATTCTAGTCACAGGTCCTGTCCACACTTAAGGAGAGGATAAGTACCAGGAGGCAGGAATAACTGGGGGCTATCTTATCTGTTCTCCATACTATGGATTACTTGGCATATAGGATTATATTTCTTAAAAACCTTTGGACTACATGTCACTTGTTAAGGTTAGACAAAAACTCACTTCTTTTGTTGGTATAATGGTAGTGGTTTGAGAGTATTCCTCCAGATGTTTTTTTTATGTATTTAGTGACATAACCTATTATTTTCTATAACTGTCCTGTTCTACATCCGGCTTGCTTCTTAACCTGGTTCGAAATGTTAAAGTAACAACATCCTAGTATAAGAGTCTTTCTTTTCTTTTTGTATTTGTATAAAGTTTTACAATATATAACTTTATATTTAATAAACATCTTAAAAATCTTTCTTTTTTCTCTTGGGACAGGTACATCAGGAGCGTCTCTATCAAGAATACAATTTCAGCAAGGCTGAGGGCCATCTGAAACAGATGGAGAAGATATATACTCAGCAAATACAGAGCAAGGATGTAGAATTGACCTCTATGAAAGGGGAGGTCACCTCCATGAAGAAAGTGCTAGAAGAATACAAGAAAAAGTTCAGTGACATCTCTGAGAAGCTTATGGAGCGAAATCGCCAGTATCAAAAGCTTCAAGGTCTCTATGATAGCCTTAGGCTACGAAACATCACCATTGCTAACCAAGATGGTACCCTCGAACCATCCATGATCACGCAATCTGGTGTTTTTGGCTTCCCATTAGGTAAGAAAGGACATGTAATATCCAATATCTGTTCTTTAAATCAGTGATTTTTCACACTCTGTACAGTTCCAAGCAGTCAGTGGGGACTCCAAAGGCCTAGAATGGTGGTAGGCTCTAGGTTCTTCATCCATGTCTCAACGTGTACATCATTGCTTTTGTCTATTCTATTTGCTTACATTTAAGTTACATCTTGAATTTGAACAGAGAGTAAATCTCTCCAAAATAAAAGTTTGAAAATTGCTACTTTAAATGAAAAGCTATTTAGTTGTGGTAATAATAATAATATTAGCTGCCATTTATTGATTCCTTACTGAGTGCTAAGCACTGTTATAATTTTACATGTATTCATGTTTTTATAAAATTTTTATAAAACTTTATGAGATAGGTATTATTATTATCCCTATTTACAGATCCCTATTTACAGATGAGAAAATTGAGACACAGAAAGTTTAAGTAAATTAGTCAAGGTCACAGAGCTATCTTTAGAGCCCACACTCTTAACCATTTGCTATCCTCCAAGAAGGCCATATTTTAGTTGCTTTCAAATGGCAATACGGATTGCACAGTTCTTTTCTTAAGTAACTGGCAGTTGTCTGGTTGGTTGTTTTTTTTTTTTAATTCGTTCATCCATTCATCAAATACTTATCAAACATGTTTCATTTGCTAGGCTGCTAGGCATAATCCTAGGCGATGAGAATATAAAGATTATCCAGATAGGATTCCTGCCCTCTGGAAGTGCCCAATCTAGGCTGATACAACTCTTTTCTGCTTATTTGGTGCCTTGACAGATGCAATGAGTCTCATGATTCTTCCTGACTTCTCCCTTTTATGGTACTTTTGATATAACAGAATCCAATAGATTTTTACTATGCTATCAATATAAAGTGTTTTTGGCATACAAAAAAGTGAATCATCTTGTGCTGGCTTTTCCAAAATACTCATTTTTGAATTTTGTTATAGGCTGAGGAAAAAGATTTAGTGGAGGAGATGATGTCCTAGAAAAGGCATGAAGTAATGTGATGAGGAATATCAGATATAAGAACTGAAACAGAAACAAGTTTCTGCTTGACTTTTAGTTAATCATGTATTATAATTTAGTCAATCAAAGTGTTATTGTATATTGGCATTGTAGATGTTCTTATTTTTTTCTTGTCACTGTCTACACTTATTTTGATTTCTTTCATAGTCACTAATTCTTTCCTGTCCTTTTTTTGTGCACACTTACTTTTTTACTTTTACTTCTTGCTACCATTGTTGGCTTGAAGCAGATGTAGTCAGCATTCCGCTATAGTTACATGTTCCCTTTAAAACTTGCAGAAGCCAAGGAAGGGTTCAGTGGAAGTTGTTAAATGCTGATTTAATCAAATCTATTGTTTGATTTTTCTTAAGACTAGTCTAATTGATCTTGTGTCATGAGTATGTGCCAGGTTTTCATAGTTGTCATATATTTTCTAGAGTATTTATGGCAATCTTTTAAAAAACATTTGTTCTTAAAGAACCTGGGACAAAAGGTTTTACACACACACACACACACACATATATATGATATTCCTTTGAAGTAGATTAAATAGATAACGAATAAAATTATGATATTGTAAATTCTAGCTCTACTAAAAACATATTTCATTGTGTCAAATTACTTTTGGTCATGAGGTAATGGCTGTCATTGGAAACTGCATCACAGAAGAAGGTCAGTATATACTGTGGTAGGGGGAAGGGGCCATCATAGGCCTTTACTTTATCCAACATTAGGCTTATATTTTATCCATCTCATAGAAGTTGAGTTCTATTAAAATATTTATTGAATGAATTTTGTCTTTTTGTTCTTAAAGATCTATAAGAAAATAGATGCTTAAATTTTTCCCCTATTTTTTTTGTAGGGAACAACTCCAAGTTTCCTTTGGACAGTACACCAGTTCGAAATCGGGGTGGTGGAGATGGAGATTTTCAGTTCAGACCATTTTTTGTGGGTTCTCCCACAGCACCTGAACCCAGCAACAGCTTTTTTAGTTTTGCCTCCCCAAGTCGTGAATTAGAGCAGCAGCAAGTCTCTAGCAGGGCCTTTAAAGTAAAAAGAATTTAGCTCACTTTACAGAATGTTTCTCTGTTCACTTTCAGTGATTTCATTTAGCAAATAATCTTTGTTCTAGTTAAGAGTCACCAACCTCCCTGTGGTATTAAAAAAGTTGTCTTCACATTTTCAACTTATAAGAAACTCAGTGGCAGTGGGGGATGGCTTTAGAGTTTGGTTTCTTTTTCTGTTTCCATTCCAAAAGGGATGAGCATTTTATTAAACTCACTTTGACTGTGAACTGTTGAGTTTTCAACCATAGTGAAAAGGTTACAATATTATTGGGAGTTTTGTAGATCACCATTTGTTTCTGTCTGGGATATTTCTGACTGAGCTATGTACTTATGCATATGTATATAAGTACCCATGTTATATGTCTACATGTCATTTTGGGTTCTGGTATTTATGCATATACGTATATGTGTTCCTTTACATTGGTATTTTGCTGTATTTGCCAGTAGATTTATGTGAACATTTTGGTCTCAGGAAATGGCAGGTGAGTCTGTAGCTTGTTATTTGGGTGTGTACATTTATTTGCATATGTTTATGTATTTGCCCTTGTATTAACTTGTTTAGAGGTATGCTTATGTCAGTGAATGAGAGTACAATTTGATGCATATATGTTCAGTTCCTATTTCTGTTTAAAAATAATTTACATTGATAAAGTAATTTTGTAAAGTTGATTTTTTGGCATTTATTTTAAAATAAAATTACTTCTTTCTCTACCCTTTTGCCAGCTGTTGCCTTGTGTCTACTTATTTAGGAATGTACTTCTACTGCAGACAACTTACCAATATGTTATTGATCTCAAGAGATTATATTAATTAAAATACTTTTTTTTTTTTTTTTTTAAAAATTTTTTTTTTTCAGTTTTTTCCCCCAAAAGCCCCAGTAGATAGTTGTATGTCATAGGTTCACATCCTTCTAGTTGCTGTACGTGGGACTCGGCCTCGCGTTGGACGGAGAAGTGGTGCCTCGGGGCGCTCCCGGCATCCGAACCCGGGCCGCCAGCATCAGAGCGCGCGCACTTAACCGCTAAGCCACGGAGCCGGCCCATTAATTAAAATACTTTTAAAGCTTTATTTCCTGTTTTCCTTTATTAAATAGTGAGCAGTTCTGACTACCATCACAGATAACTTATTTAAAAAATAGAGCCAATAAAGAAATTTGAAGGACATGTTCAGTAACTTTATGTCCTGTTAGAGGCAAGACTTGAAAGCATACTGGTTGCGGAAGCAGAACATTTGGATTCTAATTATATTTTTTTCCTGTATGTTGGTTTGACGAGTTTGAGTTTAAACTTTCTGGGCCTTTCTTTCTATATCAGTAAAATAAGGGATTGAATTAAATTATCCTTACAGGCTTTTCTAACTCTTAAATTTTATGATTTATTCTCATTGGTTTGGGAGGAATTACAATGGAATTACCCTAAATGCTAAATCCCGTTGTTTTTTAGGCAATAAAGTCATACTGAAATCATTTGAGGATATTTATATTTAGTCATTGTAGAAAGGCTAGTGAATACCCTTGCTTTACAGAATTGAATAGCAAACACGAAATGTTTTCTTCCTTAGAAGTATAGAATATAAAATCTCTTCAAAAATATTTTTTACTGTACCCCAAAGTTAAAATGGTGTCTGAGAAAGAGGATGAAAATTCTTAAGTTTTAAAATATCCCTCCGTATTTCAAAGCTAATCACACAGATTTTATAGATTACAATACAAAGTATTTTTCTTCCCTATGCAGTTTTAAATTTTGTTGGAAAATAGTTTGAGGAAATAATTTTATGTACATTCATAATTTCTGCCTTAAATCTTTGCTTCTTCCTTTGTTACATTCACAGAAGCAATTTGAAGTACAAGTAAGCTATAATTAAAAATAAAAAGTAAGAAGAAACTTTGACTATTACATGCTACTTCTTTTTTTTTGGTGAGGAAGATTGGCCCTGAGCTAACATCTGTTGCTAATCTTCCTCTTTTTGCTTGACGAAGATTGTCACTGAGCTAACATCTGTGCCAATCTTCCTCTATTTTGTATGTGGGACGCTGCCACAGCATGGCTTAATGAGCAGTGTGTAGGTCTGTGCCTGGGATCCAACCCTGCAAACCTTGGGGCGCTGAAGCAGAGAATGTGAACTTAACCACTGCAGCACTGGGCTGGCCCCTACATGCTACTTTTTAAAAAGTTATTTATTGAAGAGTTTTAATACATTCACATGGTACAAATTCAAAACGTACAAAAAAGACATACAGTGAAAAGTCTCCCTTTTCAGTCCTGTGCCCCCAGCTGCTCACTTCCCCTTTCTGGAAGCAATTACTGTTGCCCGTGTCTTGTGGCTCTTTCAGAGATAGTCCATGTGGACGGAAATAATTTTTTATTTAGAAATTGTTTGTTTTTGAATAGGTAATACATGTACCTGATAAAAAATTCAAAGTGTACACAGTGAGAAGAATTTTCTTTGCCCATTGACAACTCTCAGTCCCCCTGTTTCCCTCTCCAGAGACAGTCAGTGTTTCTTATATATCCTTCTGGATATAGTCTATCAATATATAAGCATTATTAGTTTACTAATATACTATTATTGTATTAGTAATGGCTTTCATAATACTATCCCAAGTGTAAGTAGATTTGTTAGGATACTATGTTCAAAATGATAAAATTCCTCATAGATAGGAAATCATATAAAGTTTGGAAAATATTCAGACCAAGTTACCTTCCCATTGTACTATGTTTCCTTCAAAATTTTGAACTTCTAACAGGCATCTACTGTCACAAACTGTTTTCTTTTTGGGGGTATTATAATCTTGGTATAAGCAGGAAGATGTGAAACAAAAATATACATGCAATTAAACTGAGAACGTTTTGTTTCCAGGATTTGGGAAAGAAACAAGTTTATTAACTCAAAAGTCATTATAGAGCATCTCCTTTGAGTTACAGGCTTTGGGATAAGTTGGTTTGGAGCGATGCCCTCCCTTAAAAACGCAGGTGCATGTAAGCCTCCAGAGCCCTAGATGTCGCTGTGGCTCCACGAAGGGGCGGGTAGGACTCTCTGTGGTCATAAAGTTGGGGGCGGAGCAGCCGAGAGTGGTTGGGCAGTGATGGCTGATGAAGAGGAAGAAGTCAAGCAGATGTTACCGAAATTGCAGGTGGGGGCCGTGGATTAAAATCTACATATGCTTTTGTTACTCGGGAAGAAGCGGGGAGTCTAGTTTATGCAGTACCTGCGAATTCTTTGGCACATCATGACGCTGCGTGTGTCGGTGCCGTTGCTATAACAACCCCTCAGGGTGCAGCTGCAGGCGACTTGGGGAGCCTCCCGCGCCAGGAGGGGGCCAGCGGAGGCGTGCAGCCCGTGTGTTGGGACCTCCTGCGCTGACCTGACTGCACTTAGTTTCAGTCCTGTGTGGCAGCTCCTAACTTTATTCCTGCCCATTCTTATGAAGTTTTTTTCTCGATTCACCCATAACCAATAGCGTACACATGTGTGTGGTAGATCTGCAGGAGCTATTATCACATGTTGTTTTGATCCTCACTTGTCTGCTTTGAAAATGGCAACAATCCCAGTAATGGCTTGCACCGCGTGTATCCTGGTTACTCCCGCTAGGACTTAACAGTTTTGATTTTTTTTGCACACTTGTGCAATTCTAGTTTGAGGTCTGATGCAGAGGGGCTAACTCTCTAGTTGCTTGGCTCTTTACCTTTCTCTAAATAACCCAAGATTTTCCCCACATCTCAGAAACTGAGTTCTTTGTGTTCTAAGACAGCCTGGAATTTAAACATTAGACCTGTGACAGGCTTGTAACTTGCTTAAAGGCTTCTAATGAAAAAGTTTAAACATTTGTGAGATTTGTTTCTTGAGCAGATTAAAATAATAACACTTTTTAAGAGTGTGAGCTTTATTGCACTTCCAGTTGACTTGGATTAACTTAATTTTATTCCTGAGTGTGACTGGCTGAAATCAGAGATTTTCGATCCTGGCTCCATATTGAAAACATTGTTTGTGTATATATGTTTGTATATGTATTGAAAAAAGTCTGAAAAGTTATACTAAACAGTGGTTATCCCTGAGGTTGTATGGGGATGATTATGAACAATTTTTTACTGTGTATTTTTTACATGTACCTATTTGAATTTTAACAACATATATATTGATTTTGCTATGAAAAAAGTTATTAAAAATGTTAACTCCAGCAAAACAAAGCAACAACAAACCATACAAATTTCTTGCATGTTTGCTTTAACAATTAAAAGCAAGCAAACAATGAGACCCTCTCTAAAATTCCTAGTTTGCATCCATGCTGATTGCAGGGCACAAGGAAATGGATTGTAATTTTTGCTGAGAACTGTCTTTTCCTGGGCTTGTTTGTGGTAGATGCACTAAGCATCTAGGTAGAGGGTGCGTGGGGTGTCTTGGGGTGGGTGGAGAAGGTGCAGGAATGGAATAGGGGAATGGAGTGGAGGAGAGGAAGACAATAGTGATGTTGCTATCCATGGGAATGGTGGTAGGCTTTGATTTCATTATTATAGACATTTTAGGGTAGAAGGAATGTATAAAAAGATATTTCTCAAAGTGTATTTTATAGACCATTTTCATTACAGTTATCTAGGGTGCTTGTTAAAATGCAGAATTTTGAGTTCTACTAAAACTACTAAAATCAGAGCTTCTGCAGGCTGGGTCCTAGAAATAATAGACACAATAAAATTGGAAAAGCACTGCTGCAGAGGGTGCTAGTCCATTCTCTTTGTTCTGGGTAGGATTTTAAATTAAGTGTAGCATATAAGTATTTGTTAGAGACAGGATGACTCATTAATTCATTCAGTCAGCATATTTAATGAAAGCCTATCATGTCCCTTGCCCTGTTCTAGTGCTAAGGTATAACTCTAAACAAAACAGACTTTAAGTCCCTCCCATCATGGAGCTTACATTCCAGTGGTGGAGACAGACAATATAGACAGTTAATGAATAGGCCACATAATTTCAAATGATAAATACTATGAAGAAAAATAAGAGTGTGATTTAACAGAGGGCAGAGAAAGAAGGGATTGCTTTAGTTTGGGTAGTCGGGGAAAGCCTCTCTGAGAAGTCAATATTTGAACTGAGATCTAAATGATGGTGAGGAATGAGGCATGCAAAGATCTGGGGGAAGAGTGTTCAGGCAGAGGGAACAGCATATGTAAAGACCCCAAGGTGGGATTGAGCTTGGTGGATCTGAGGAACTGAATGAAAGCCAGAGTAGCTTGATTACAGTAGGAGGGAGAACAGTAAGAAGTGAAATTTGTGGCAGGGTGAGTAGTGGGAGGTCAGATCATGCAGTCTTCTATAGAGGCCGTGGTAAGGAGTTAGATTTTATTCTGTCTGCCGTGGGAAACTCTCTGAGGGTTTGTGGTATGATGTACATTTTTGTAAGGTCACTCTGACCATAGTGAGAGAATGGGAGAGAGTAGAAGCAATATGACCAGGTAAGAAGCTATTGCAGTAGTCCAGGCAAGTGATGATGCTGCTTTAGTCCGGGGTAGTCATAGTGGGATGGAGACAGGTAGGTAGATTTAGGATGTGCTGTGGGGGTAGTTAAGACATGATGGAATTGTATTATATATTTCTGCTTCTATTTGGTTTCAGGACAGAATAGATAATGGAAAAGCTTTGACTGATGTCACAGAAAGCCTCAGAAATAGAGGTATTCAAAAGAGGAAAGGGAACACTTACTTGGAAAGAATGCAAGACAGCCAGAAAGTCACTTGACAAAAACAAAATAAAACACCAAAAACCAAATATTTAAAGAAACAAAGTCCTGCAAAATTATCCAGTTTAAATTGGTCTGTTTGTGGTGGAAAA